GCTGGCTGGTGAAGGGAACTACAGAACTGCTTCTTGAGATAGCATTATCTGGCAATTAATCTTCTAGGCATGGGATCAAGCACAGCTGTATGCCGCCAGCACGATGCCAATGGGTGCCATGGCACCCACCAGCACCATTCCTGGCTGTCGCCAAGTGTTTTAAGAAAGTGGGTGGGGCCTGGTGGGCTTTTGCCCAGTAAGGCTTCTGATTAGCCACTGGAGATTTGATTGGCCACTCAGATTTTTAAAAAATGTTGCTTTGGCGCACAGTCACTGTGTGACTGAAAGTAAATTGCAGCAGTCATTTTGCACTCGTCACCCTGTGTCAGAATTTGAAAGGGGCCCCCAGGCCAAGCCCGTAGCCGGGATTTTGTGGCTTGTGGGGCAGATTTTTTTTTCTGGTGGGGCTGGAGTTCTCAGTGCAGAAAGAAAAACCATGTAGCCAATAGAAAGCCATGACCAGGGCAGATCTCTCCCTTGCAAGCTGTCAACCACTTTAGATGACAGTTCTCAGCTGCTGCGAGTTAATCACTTCTGCCAGCCTAAGCAACAATTCCGATAAAAAAGCAGGTGGGAGTGATGACGTCTATAGCCAAGAAAGCTGACACTTAGGCAGGAAAACTCTCTTCAAGGAGACCAGTTTCTTGACACAGAGTTAGAAGGGAACCTAGAGGTCACCCACTCCAACCCCTTTGCTTAGTGCGGGAATTAGTCAACTACAGCACCCCACTCTGCTTAAAGGAGTGCATGCCCTTTAAAAAATGTTTGAAAATGATTGGAAAAAAAACATTTACAGGAGAAATTCATGTGGGGGTGTGCCTTTAGAGCCCCCAAAAGCCCCACTGTAGTCATGGGCCTGCTCCAGGCTCAAAAAGGGTGGGAACTCCTGCCCTAATCAGACTGCTGGTCCGTTTAGCTCAGCACAGACTGCTCTGACCGACACCAGCTCTCCAAGATCTCAGACCGAGAAAGGTCTTTTCCAGCACCTGAGATCCTTTAACTGGAGTTGCTTGGGAACGAACCTGGAAACTTCTACATGAAAAGTATGCACTCTGCCATTAAGCCACGCCAATCCCCACCCTCCCAGTGTTCCAGCATGAATTTCCCCCCTCTCCATTATATCTTCTCAGATCATGGTCAATACCATTTCCCAGCCACCACCAAGACTGGGTCAACCCCACTCCCTGAGAATCGGATGATCACTGTTCATTCCATACCACAAAAAGCATACCTTGTGGACGTCTGCGTAAATTAGGCAGGACAATTAGCTGACAAGGGTAAAGGTTTCCCTTGCTCAAAAGCCAGTCAAAATTGACTCTAGGGGGCAGTGCTCATCTCCGTTTCCAAGCCGAAGAGCCAGCGCTGTCCGAAGATGTTTCCATGGTCACGTGGCTGGCATGACTAAACGCCAAGGCGCACGGAACGCTGTTACCTTCCCACTAGAGCGGTACCTATTTATCTACTTGAAATGTCTTGCTTTCGAAATGCTAGGTTGGCAAGAGCTGGGGCCAGAGACGGGAGCTCACTCCCTCTAGGCGGTACCAGGGTCTCGAACTGCTGAGCTACCGACCTTCCGGTCTGCAGCTCAGCGCCTATGAAAGGTACCGGGAAAGCTGGTGGCAGGAAATTGGCACTGTCTGGGTACCTGCTGAGCGACCCATTTGGCAGTGACCGACCCCAAGAGAGACTGGGCTAGCTTCCCAATTCCCCAGAGGGAGTAGAAGTGCGTGGAGGCGGTGGGGTAAGGAGAGCGCAAGAGAACTGTGGCCTTGGTGCCCTCTCCGGGCACCCCTGGTGATTGGCTGCTGCACGTGCAACGCTGCGGTGATTCGTCCTTACGCCTTTCAGGCCTGTGGGCACCAGGGAGGGCTAAGAAGAATGCAAGGAAGCCCGCCAGCTCCAAAACAGCTTCTGTGGCGGTGGTGGTGGTGTAGCTACAGCATTAACTGCAGTTGGGGGGGCAGGGAGCTGTGATGGAGGGGTCTGTGGCCACGGGATGCGCTCGGCCGACCATCAAAACCTGAAGCAGGCTCTGAGCACCGAAACAGGACAAAGCAAGGTGTTTCCTGTGCCATGAGACCAAGCATGGGGTCGGAACCCTCCGGACTGGTCTTATCTGCCTCCCTTCCGTGCCGCGCTGAACGGTCCCAGGATCCCATGAACGGCAAAGCGTCAGACAAGACATCTAATCTGCTAATGTCATCCCAGGCGTCCCGGCTGACCTTTAGCTTCTTCTGGTACACCAGCTGGCTGTTCTGAATGGAGAACCACCTCCTGGGGAGGGGAGAGGAGGGGGGGGGAGAGAGAGAAACACAAATGAATGGAAGACGGATAATCCCGAAAGGGGGCAGGCAGGAAGGCGTTTCGCCGCCTTCAAAATAAAAGCAGAGCTACAGGACGTTCGAGGGGGAAACGGGGCTACTAAAACTAGTGGGGCAAGTTTCTAGTCCACATTAGAGGCCGCAGCGTGTTCTCAAAATGGGCTTTCAAGAGAACCTGTTGAAAGGACGGACTCAGCACCTCCAGGTTCTCCATCTGGAATCGTACAGATATAACAGGGGCCCTGAGGGATGAGATCAATAGTCCGTCTCCTCCCACATCCTGTTTCCCACATTGGGCGACCACATGCTTCCCGTAAGGCCTATAAACAGAGGCCGAAGCCTCCCTCTGTTTTTTTTATGGCCCCTCTCCCCCACCATTGACTGGAAATCAGAGGTACATCATGGCCAATAGCCATGGATATCTTTCTCCTGCACTCAGGGGTCATTTCCTGCAGGAGGGCACAGAAGCGGAGCTCCGGCAGTAAAGAGCCCAGGGGGCGGGCACATGCAACAAGCCCCACCCCCTGCTCCCAGCAGCCCTCAGTCAGAGCAAGAAGCAGCCAGGTAAGCTGCAGAGCCCCCACCCCCGGCCCCCCAATCCAAAACAGCCAGTGGCACCTTTAAGGCCAAGGTTTATTCAGGTACAAGCTCTCCCTCCTCTGCGAGGACAGATCTGCACGTCCCCCCCCCAATAGCTAGCAATCCAAAACAGTCCAGTGGAGCCTGAGCGGTGGGTGGTGCCTTCTGACACACTTCCAGTGATGTCAGGGGGTGTGGCATATGCAAATAAGTTATGCTAATGTTATGCTAATGAGCTCCTGCACCTCTTTTTCTATGAACTGACCCCTGACTGCACTGATTTATTTGTTGGTTTATTTATTCCCCACTTTTTCACGGAAACTCAAGGTGGAAAACACAGTGCAAATCCATGCAATCAAAAGGGTGAGACATCTAATAAGCAACGTAAACTAGCAACCACTGCTACATCGTGTGATACCAAATCCCACAAGTTAATGATGCGTTGTGAGAGGAAGCAATTTCTCTGGGCTGTCCTAAATCTACCGCCCATCAACTGTATTGAGTTACTCCTAAGCAGTGTTCCCTCTAAGCTGAGTTAGTGTGAACTGGCTCACGGCTTTTTAGCCTCCAGCTCACAGATTTTTGTCATCGCTCGGGAAGGATGGCTCCAGAGCAAACTAATTCATGCAGCAGCCGAATCGCCCGCTCACAACTTTAATGCCAGTCACTCAGAAAGTAGTATTTTTGCTCAGAAAGCTTCACAGCTTAGAGGGAGCATTGCTCCTAAGGTCTAGTCTTAAAGGACAGAGTGAAAACAGAACCTCCATGTAGCCACACATGAACACAAAGGGAGCTGCCTTATACTGAATCAGATCATCAATCTATCGAGGCCAGAACGGTCTACACAGCTCTCCGGGGTCTCAGGCAAAGAGCCTTTGCAGCAGCCGTTACCCCATCCTTTTCAGTGGAGATGCCGGGGATTGAACCTGGGACCTTCTGCCGAGCAGAGGCTCTTCTGCTGAGCCACAGCCCCTCCCCAGACAGATACTCTTTTTTAAAAAAAATATTTTTTATTATTTTTTTTCAGCACGGTTACAACAAAGTTTAACATTCTTAAATCCCAACGACAATGGCAGACAGACACTCTTGAGAACGGGGTGCTGCCTTCGTTCCTTGCTTGGGGTCTTCCCAGTGACGTCAAGCTGGCCTTTACAGGAAACTGGGTGCTAGACTAGGTGAACATTTGGTCTGTCCCAGTCGGATTCTTTGGATGTTCTTATTATAGCACCAAAGGACTCATCCCGAGAACCTTCGGTCTCATATATCTATGAGGATTCTTCAATACATGACAGCAGTCGGGGTGGGATTGAGCTTGCTTTGCTTTAGGGATGCCGGCCTCCAAGTGGGACCTGGGGATCCCCCGGAATTACACCTCATCTCCAGGCTACAGAGTTTCGTTCTCTTGGAGAAAATGGATGCTTTGGAGGGTGGACTCTACGACATTGTCCCCCACTGAGGTCCCTGTCCTCCCCAGGCTCCACCCCCAAATCTCCAGGAGTTTCCCACCCTGGAGCTGGCACCCCTACCCCTCCCATCCTCTGCAAGTGACCCGGGGGACCTGGCAACCCAGCTTGCCTGCTTTGGCCAAATAACTTTGCAGGCGAAAGGGAAACTTCCCAGGGCGCGTGAACCCCTTACCGGTTCCAGGTCTTGAAAGCGTTGCTTGCTCTCTTGAAGAGGTAGCCTTCCATCACCACCCCGTTGGGGGCATCAACGTTGAATTCCACTTTGGAATCATCGTAGGAGAAATCCTGCAGAGAAGCAGACAGTACCATCAGTCACAAGAGCGGCTGCTGAGAAACGGAGGAAGAATCCAAAATATTATTTGCGGCAGTCGTAAACTGTTAGGAGAAATCAACGACACGTTTTTGATTTTATAAATATCCAGGACGAACCAGGCACCGTGTAATTTTCAAGAAACGAATTCTTTTTACAGCGCATAATGCTCTTGTGGAACTCACTGCCACAAGATGCGACAGCGAGTTTAACTGGCACACGAAAGCTCATACCTTGAATAAGCCTTTGTTGTTCTTAAAGGTGCCCCTGGACTCTAAATCTGTTGTACCGCTTCAGACTAACACGGCGGACCAACCGGATCTGTCTTCAGGAGAGCAGACAAATAACATGGGATAAAGGTCCACCAATGCCTAATTGGAAGCTCTTTCAAAGTCTGTCTCTCTGAGCTCCGGCAGTAAAGAGCCCAGGGGGCGGGCACATGCAACAAGCCCCACCCCCTGCTCCCAGCAGCCCTCAGTCAGAGCAAGAAGCAGCCAGGTAAGTTGAAGAGCTCCCCCCCTTGCCCTGGCCCAAACAATCCAGTGGCACCTTTAAGGTCAAGTTTTATTCAGGTACAAGCTCTCCCTCCTCTGTGAGGGCAGATCTGCGCGTTCCCCCCCCCCCCCGCTAGCAATCCAAAACAGTCCAGTGGAGCCTGAGCAGTGGGTGTTGCCTTCTGACACACTTCCGGTGATGTCAGGGGGTGTGGCATATGCAAATAAGTTATGTTAATGAGTTATGCTAATGAGCTCCTGCACCTCTTTTTCTACGAAATGACCCCTGCTGAAGACTAACTCTTGTCTACAGAGGCGGCAAAAAGAGAACAGGCCCTTCTTCCTTCTGGCCATTTGGTCGGTCATTGTGAGAAACAGGATTCTGGACTAGAGGGACACTTGCTCTGATCCAGCAGGGTTCTCCGTATAACGTATCTAGGTCTGGACTTGGTCAGGGTGTGGATTGAGAAAAACACCAGTGGAAGCGCATGTCTCCATTACAAAAATGTATTGTGGCACAGCAGTTTGACTGTGATGACTTTATTTATTTATTCACTGTTTAGACATTTAGGCCCCGCCCTTCCCCACAAGCAGGGCTCAGGGCGGCTTAAAGGTAAAGGTTCCCCTTGCTTGAAAGCCAATCGAATCTAACTCGAGGGTTGTGGTGCTCATCTCCGTTTCCAAGCTGAAGAGCCAGCGCTGTCCTAAGACATTTCTGTGGTCATGTGACCGGCATGCCTAGACACCGAGGCGCACGGAACGCTGTTACCTTCCCACCAAGGCGGTACCTATTTATCTACTTGCAATTTCTTGCTTTCGAACTGCTAGGTTGGGAGGAGCGGGGACCCGAGACGGAAGCGCACTCTGTCATGTGGCACTCGGGTCTCAAACTGCCGAACTACTGACCTTCCGGTCTGCAGTTCAGCGTCTTAACCACTGAGCCACCGCGGCCCTTATCAGGACGGCTTACAACAGAATAAAGACACACAATTCAAGTTAAATTAAACCAGCATTAAAACACAATACAGAAACAGAAGTAAAAAGCAATTCCAAGGTGGTGAATGATTTCAATAGAGATTAAAACTACCCAGCCTCCAAGGGGGCAGGTAAGGGGGGGCGGGGAACTTGAGACCACAAGACTACTTGCTGTCCCGCCAGACTACTTGCTGGCCTATGCCCAAAGGATCCTGGGAGCTGTAGTTTCAGAAGGAGCTGAGGGAAATTTCTAGCCCAACCCCACCGAATGATATTTTTCTGGGTAGAGTGAACGATTTTTAAACTAGCAGAAGGTTCTGACCACACGTGCAATGGGGCGAGGTGGCAGAGGTAACTGTGCTGCAAGACTGCAGGCAAAGAAGTCCCTTTTTAAGAACAACAACAAAAACCCCTCTGCATGTAGAACAGTAGCACAGCAAGGGCTGGGCTGGAACCTCTCTCCCTGAAGCACTAGCTGTTTACTCGAAGAGAGGAGTTGTTTTAAACACGGGGACACATTTAAAAATGGCATTCTCCTTCCCGCAGTTGGAGTCTTCCACCTGAGGACAGAGTCTACTGCGGCTGGGCCTTTGTCATGCCAATTATTCTGCCGTGACTGATCTTGCTTGCAACCGGATCCCCCCTCTCTGCCGGAGCCCATTATTCCCCCACCCGGCCGTTCAATTAAAAAAAATAAACCAAGTGCCTCAGTGGTGGGGAATTTGGAGGCAGCGCCCATTAGCTTAAGTGCCCCACCACTTTGGTGCAGGAAGGCCCCAGCGAAGCCTGGCGGTTGCTAGGCAACGTGCACTCCACACTCATTAGGATGAGTTATAGCCATGCGGAGAGATGCTGGCCCCGCCAGGAAGGTGTCATAATAAGAGGAATCAGAAGATGTCATGGGACGGGGATGAGTCATGTCTTTGGAAGGGTGGCCTGATGCTCAGCTGGAGCCGGCCGTGTGGCCAAGAGCGCTTCCAATTAAAAGAAAACGGGTGCGGGATGCGAGCCGCTCCCACTGCCCTCTTCCTCATCCCTGGTGTCCGGGGATGGCCTGGTTGGGCACTGCAAAACCAAGCCAAGGTTAGTGAAAAGGAGGGCCAATACTAAAACCTTTCCATAAAAGATAAAAAGAGGTACATGTATTTATTAATAATAATAACCAATTTTAAAACATATATAGAGGCCCATTTACAACCAATGGATATAAAATATAACAATATCAAGGGCTTACAAAGTTGACCTTACGCGTTTCGGCCAAATAGGCCTTCCTCAGAGGTCATACATATGTGGCAAGATGGTTAATAATTATTTTCACATAAACACAATCAGAAATATATACAAAGTATAGATTCATTGAGGACCATAAAGTAAATTGTTCAAAAGTAAAATCACCAGGCACAAGGTAAATGTGCACATAAGACCTTTAAAGTGCAATCACTAGCCCAGTGATTATAAACTTGTGGTCCAAAAATTTCCTTCTTTGATTGTGTTGCCACAGCATTCATAAGTAAAAAGCAGTGTGTACCTCTTTTTATCTTTTATGGAAAGGTTTTAATATTGGCCCTCCTTTTCACTAACCTTTGCTTGGTTTTGGAGTTCATTGTTAGGTTCAGTGTTTTTCCCCCCTTGGTTTCTGCTGGTTGGGCACTGACCAAGGCCTACAGCCTGACAGGGGGGGGCTGGCCCAGCTGGAGACACCGGGATGGCCTCCCATTTCCCCAAGGAAGACACACCTGAAGGCAGTAGAGGAGGAGGGTGCAAGATGTCCCGATGACTCCTCGGGATTGGGATCCCCTTGTGATCTCCCTTGAGGCTCCTGCAACCGCTTTTTTTTTTGTTAAGGATGCTGAAGTCCCTGAGCATCAAAATCCTTGGGTCCTTAGCAATGTTCCCTCTAAGCTGTGGGGTCTTGTGAGCAAAAATTCTACTTTGTGAGCTACTGGCATTAAAGTTGTGAGCAAGAGATTTGGCCGCTGGATAAACTAGTTTGCTCTGGAGCCCTCCTTCCTGAGCTAAGACAAAAATGTGTGAGCCAGAGGCTAAAAAAATGTGAGCTAGCTCACACTCACTCAGCTTAGAGGGAACACTGAGTCCCCTGCCACAATTTGGGGAGGGGAAGAAGGCAGATGTGACTGGGAGGGGATGGCCATGATTTCGGGGGACAAAACCACAGTGGAGGGGCAGCGGCAACGAGGGGAAAGAGAAGGGCACTGCAATGGAAGGACCCGTAAAGAGCTGGTAGAAAATGAGCAGCCTGATAGACAGGGCGATGGAGAGAGCGAAGGGGGCCAGCCAGTGGCTGGCATTTAATATTGGAATGCGGGAGTTGCTGATTTCTAAAGCAGGAGGTGTTTGGCCTCTAGGGCTGCAGTCACACACGCTAAATAACCCACTTTCAAACCACTTTCAATGCAGTTTTGACATTCGTAGTGTACACAAAAAAAGAAAACCAGTTCGCCGCGCCGCGCGCTTCTTCATTGCGCGCAGGCGTGTGTTGTGATCGGCACCTCTCCCTTGCCATGGAACCTCCACAGTACCTCCACAGAACCTCCACAGTAGATCTGATCGCTTTATTGCATGTTAGTTTGCCCCGGGGCAAACAGCCACACTTCTCCTCTGCAGTTTCCTGCCCGTGTGACAGGGGCCATTGTTAAATAAACAAAATATTGCAAGAGTGCTAATGTTTTAAGCACGTTTTTATTTTAAGTAAAAAAACACAACAAACCCTTTGTGTTTGTGTCCTTTAAAAAACTTATATCTCCGCTACCTGGCATTACATTTTATGACACACATGGCCCAGCCCAACAAGGGCCCCTGCCACACGGGCAGGAAACTGCAGAGGAGAAGTGTGGCTGTTTGCCCCGGGGCAAACTAACATGCAGTAAAGCGATCAGACCTACTGTGGAGGTTCTGTGGAGGTACTGTGGAGGTTCCATGGCAAGGGAGAGGTGCCGATCACAACACACGCCTGCGCGCAATGAAGAAGCGCGCGGCGCGGCGAACTGGTTTTCTTTTTTTGTGTACACTACGAATGCGCATGCTCCGTTGGGTGCGTGTGCGCATCCACGGAGACGTGGGGGGAAAAAAACCCTTTTCCGCAAGGGGACATGGGCGGGCGCCGGATACCACCGGAAACGCGATCAGACGCCCGCCCTTGCCCCGCAGTTTCCGGAAACTAGTACCTCCAAGGTACTAGTTTTTTGCTGCGCTTTTTCGGCAGGAAGCCTCAGTTGTGCCACGGAAGCGCTACGCTTCCCAGATGTGCTGGTGAGATCGCGACCGGAAACTCCGCTTGTCTTCCGTATCTCTTGCGTGGCTAATGTTGCGTGTGACCGCAGCCAAGGTCTCATGTATGTCAGATTCGGCCCTCATAACAAATGAGTTCGACACCCCTGATTTAGTGTGTGTGTCCGCAGCCTAGAGGGTTCCTAACACTGGGCTAGAAAATTCCTCGAGTTTTGGGGGTGAGGCCTGGGAACGGCAGGATTTGGGGAGAGGAGGAA